GAGACCAAGGAGCAATCGACCCCCAGGTCTTTCTTCTCTCCAACTGGAACTTAGACCAGTATGATTTTCCCTTGCTGGAGGAGACTCTGGAGAAGGACCTCCCCCGTCTACAGAGACTTGTGTTCCTGATCAGCCTGCCCAACTTCTCTCTGGAAATCATAGAGAAGAAGAAATCTGCTCTGCGTGGGCACTTATGGAAAATATCCCTGGTGTCGGCTTTTATCAATGTCCTTCCCATGGGAGGTGTCTCTCTCGCCTGTGATGTTGGCCTCCTGTTGGTATCCATGATCGCCTTCTACAAACAATTCAGCCTTGACGATGACTCCTTAGGTAAACTGGCCAGGCAGGCTGGGAAGCCCATGGCAGAGCTCAAGTCTGTTATCATCTCACCACAAGGGGAAGTTCTCACCCGAGATGTATTAATGAAGAAGATTGTCCAGGTTGGGTGCAGCCTCACCCGCTCAGTTGAACAAAACTTTGACCTCGTCCCAGTGATTAGCACCCTGGGTGCAGCCGGGTTGTCCTTTGCTACGTCCTACTCCATTCTGTCAAACTTCCTGGAGAAGGTGGCTGAGGATGCACGAAGGGTTCGCAAGAAAGCTCTGGAGTAAGATGGGAAAGTGTCAAGATCCAGAAACAGAAATGCCATCGAGCCATATCTGACACCTCATTCCCTAGGCCAAGTCACAATAATTACATTTAAAAAAAAGTTAAAACTACCCTGCCTCACAGGGCTGTCGTGAGGATTAATCCATCTGTGTTTGTGAGACACTCAGTGTCTACTCTAGAACTACATCCATGGATCACTAAGCTGCAGATATGAACGTGCCGCTCCCATTCCAAGATGTTGTTTGAGTTATTGCTGTCTGTTGATGTCAATGGTCTCTCATCTGCTGGAGTGTTGATTTGTATTGCACTGATTCTTATCCTATCCCCTGGCACGGCTGGCGTGTGTTAAATGTCTGCTGGGGAGAGCTGAGTGGATTTTTGTTGGTTCAGTGGCTGAACCAAAACAATCTTTAGAAAAATCAGTTCATTTAGAACCAAAACTGTTTTGTTTTTTTCATGACTAAATAAATAAAAATCATTTTGGGTCGAACAAAACATTTTGTTTGCCCCTAGTTGATTTTCTTTCTTTCTTTCATTTTG